GCACCTCATCTCGTCAAAACTTCTGAGAAAGTGCTTCATGAATAATTATGCTCATCGCTGTGGCTTTTCTCCAGGAATTCTACTGATCACTCTTCCATTAACGACTTTCCTGAGAAGAAGCCTGATTAAAGTATGACCCCCAGGTCTCAGGTTCTACATAAATATCGATCGCTTCACTTCTCCTACCTCTGTTGTAGAGGAACATAATGGTGACAGTCTTCGGCAACCTCAGTACCAAAAGGTTTCCGGTAATAGGTGGAGGGTTATATGGGGCTGAATTGTTTTTGACTTGGGAGGCATCTGCTAATAGTGGCCACCTTGCAACAAGACTTCTGCAAACATTATAAAGGAATGCAATCATTTATTGGGCTTTAAACTGTGCAATACCATCAGTGGCTTGCATGTGGCATTGTCCTGTCGGCCAACTTATTCTCTATACAATACCTCCTCATGGCCACTTAGCAGGGTGGAGGAGTAGAGCATTCTCTCTCCTGATCAATGCAGTGGCACCAAATGGCTTGAAGAGTCTATGGGGGTAGAATTGGACAGCACATGTGGAGGAAGGAGCATATTAGAGGGCTCGAGGAAAGCACAGAAACATGGGAATAGGGATGGGTAGCTTCCTGGAGGACCAAAGACTGACACGATAAAATGAGGTGGCTTCAAACTGCGTTGTCCATTTTTATGGTTCTGTGGCAGGTGGGGAGGGGGCTGCAAGACTGCTTCCTTGAATCGCGCAGCTCCCAGGCAGATGCTAGCTTTTCTGGGGTGAGAGCTGACCGACTTGCTGCTGGCAGACACTGAAGGTGTTTCACACTGGTCAATGTGACATCACCCCACGTGAAAGGCCCTATATATAAATGTGATTTGTTGTTGTGAGCTTCAGCTTTATTCATTGAGCTATAACTTTATTCAGAGAAGAAGTCATTCATCATCTCAGTCACCGTGCACAAATAACACCAGCAAGGGTTTCAGCACGATGCGTATTACAAAATGTGAATGATCAAAGTTATGTGACTCAAGTGTAGGAGGAGTGCGCTCGGCAATCTCTAGCCCGCTTCCCTGCTTCCTGCAATTCTGCTGTGCAACACAGCGTGTGACTGAAATTGTTCTCCGGTACCTGATGCGGTCAGGAATGCCGGAGGTAGAGAAAAGGAGAACAGCTTCACAGTATGGCAGGATTATAGCTGGAAATGTACTGTGGCTAGACCTAACAGTACACATGCATTAATTAGTACAATGCTGAAAAGAAGCCATTTGGTTTGTGTGGGAGGGCTTATCCCACACACTCCCAACCATGCTGTAGGCTGTGTTATACAGATGTACGTGCAGGAGCTCTAATTGTGCGGGAGTGGCTGGGAAGTTGGTAATGAATCAGCTAACACTGTAAGTGGATCTCAGACTTCTTGTTTGAAAATTAAGCAAACCGAAACATGGCACCCCCTGCTTACCCAAAACCGGAGAGTATTAGGCACAGTTGGGGTAACTGCTGGAGTTTAATCAGATAAAACTGCATTGCTTGCCTTTGAGAGTATTGTCTGAATGGACCTGCTTGGCTCAGCAACCAGACTACCAAGACTGCAAAAGGGGGTGGATTTCATTTCAACATTCTGTAGCAAAGCAAGACACCTTAGAAAGCAGCTCAGCTCCAAAGGGACCCCTCTTAACTCCCGCCCACCCTCTCTAAGGGGGAGGAATGATGATCTATTCCGTAGGTGGTAGGATACCGGAACTCACTGTAGTGGGCAAGACCACTGTGCAATCCATCAGAAGGTAGAAGTTTAAACACATTGTTAAATGAATTGTGAAACAGGAGATGCAGAGAATCAGGTGCTGTTTTATGGATGTGAATAGAATTGTTGATGGTTTACGATATGAAACATCAATCCAGTAAGAAATGATCAATTGTTTCCAGGGAATGCACTCTCATACTCTAATCACTGTCCTCACTCTCTCTCCCTCTATCTCTCTCACTGCTCCTGAAGTGCTGACTCACAGCAGTCAACGCCAACCTAAATTATTAATTAAAGGCAGAACCACATTGCACTTGCCGGAAGCCCGATGTGAAAAGTGACGGTAGAATCAATGAGAGATTAAAGTAAAACAACCCTTACACAGCGTTCTTTCACATCTCAAAGCGCTTCACAGGATTTACTGCAGAGAACAACTGTGTAGACTGAACCAGTAACACTGCAATCCAATGTGAGGGTTGGTGATGCTCACAAAGGGATAAAATGTCCAAGTCCTTTTAACGCTGCAGCATCCTGTAAATAAATCCCAGAAATGATGGCAAAACTGGACTGGCTCCAATGATTGAAAAGTAACCCCCCCCATTTTCCTGTTTTCAGCAAAAGAACCAAGTGCCGATCACACCCCAGTGATCTGTGGGATTCTGTGCCATCAGACTTCACGTGTCAGTCGTTTACTGTGTGACCACCTTCGTTCATTCGTTAAGATTCGATGTCCTGATATGGTCAGTGAACCAGCAGATCTCTTTAGGAATCAGCTTCCTTCAGATTTATTGACTGACCTCTTTAAATGAGGCTGAACCTTTATAAGCACATGATAGATCATTCTGCACCTGTAATTGTACACTGGGTGTAATCATAACACTAATAATCCTTGTGTTTTATATGGCACCTTATCAGCACCTTTAAGCGCTCTGAGACACTACCCCACGTGAAGAGCACAATATAAATGCAACTTGTTGTTGTTATCATGGAATCTAAAAGTCTCAAAGTATTTTACGGCAAAGTGTAGTCACTGTGTAGCTGAGAATGTGACCAGATTGCAATGCCTCTGTAGCTTTATCTAAATTAACCTGATACAAATCACAGAGGGAAAGGCTGGAATGAAGGATTGCATTTTTGATAGGATCTGTGACAAGCACTGAAAATGCAAATAACTGTAAAAAAAAAACAACCGTCATCACGAAACTAAGGTTTTGCCAGTCAACGTTTCCTAGACCAGGGTGACCTCCTACAATTAAACAATCTGATCTGATTATAAACTGCCGGTGACTGTGCATCAATTATCGGAAATGACAGTTCAGTAGGCCGTCCAATGCTCTCGGCCCAGGCTAATACTGGCATGTCCACATAACACCTTGCTCTTTCTCTGTACCCAGCATTTGGCTATGATTTCCCTTCCCCCTCCTATCATTAAGTAGCTATCAGACACTCACCATCTCGGAGTGCTTCACTTCAGTGAGACACACACAGGACTGCCTCCACCCGCACAACTTAACCCCGACATGCATTGGCACCTTCAGGAGAGAATGCAGAAAACACATTCAAACACTTTCAAAATAGTTTTGTTGTGGAGGGGGGTGAATGCACTACATTGAAAGGAGGATTTATTAACCAGTAAATTTCCCAGTACATCATTATCAAACCAGAGTGTCCCAAAAGCCAATGTTCTTCCTCTCCATCAAGCTTTTCCACTATTGGAAAAGAGCAGGGTGTTTTTCCTCGTCTTCTGTCCAACAATCCCACAGATAAGTTATTTATTGCTGTTTGTGGGACCCTATAGTGTTCAAAATAGCTACCGTGTTTTCATAAAAGAAAGTTAATGTGGCAATTCCTTGTGAATGGCCTTCAGACGTTTTAACCGTACAGGAGCTGTATCAAACACCAGGATGGTTACCATAAGGGCTACATTCCTCCTAAGAATTGTCGCGCTCAACACCAACTTGCATAACAAATAGGTTTCTGAAGGGAACCTCTGCAGGAAAGCCCTACAGCTTGATAAAGGGGCTCTCAATAATTGATTACGTGCAGCACAGGGAAACACACTCCAAAAGTTTCTTTCAAGAAAAGGAATTAAATCTGAGCATTCATTCCTCGGTTTCCCCATTCTGTCTTTGAATTCTTTACTTAACTGTTACCAGCGAGTGAGTAATGAGAAACGCTGCTGCAATATATATCAGCAGTAGAAAGCGTGCCACCCAATGGTGAATAGTAAATACACGCAAGAGTACTATACTGTTTGAGGATCCTCTTTGCTCTTCACAACTCCACAGGGAACAGGTTCGACTGGTAGAACGTGCCTTTTGAGAGAGTAAAAACATGAAATTAAGCTTTCGGTGTTTATTCTATTTAATAAAGAAATAAGATCTGGGAGCTCCAGGTACTTCCCTCACGCAGTGCCAGGCTGCTTCCCATGACTTTCATTGCCATTCCAGTGCCACCAAGGTGTGCAAGTCAGTTGAACAGGGAGAAATCCTAGCCCTTTGTGAAGCGGCGTGTTAAATTGGCAGCACATTTCCAATATTATCGTTTAATTATTAAATCTTGGGAGTCTTGTATTTCTATAGTTCCCTCTGATAAAAATGCATACACATCTGCTAGAAACTCCTATACAGCTATTTAATCTGGGTCAGTCTAAATTAGGCAATAACATACATTGTTTCTGTTTTAATGTGATATTTGGTCCAGCATAAAAAGAACTTAAATTTGTATTGTGCCTGAACACACCAAGTGCTTCCCAAGCGGTTAATGTCAATTGTGGTGACTGTATTTTTGTAAGAAATCGAGAGCAGCCACTTTGCATTACCGAGGTCTGCAAAAATGTATGTGCTGACTGTTTGCCGGGAAACTGGGATAAACTTTCTCTTTTTGAAGTGTTCTGAGAACTTTTGATGTCCAGCTCGTCAGACACTGGCCCTCAGTTTAGTCGCTAACAACGCAGGTCCATTTGGGTGATGGGTTTTCCACAGGTCTTACTGCCTTCCAAATAAAGGCGGATTTTATGAAAATTTCCACTTCTGCTCCATCTTCACATCTTAAGACAAAACCGTTTTAATACAACTGGATGGAAATTCAGGCCTCGGGCTTTTTCTCGATTGAACGCCTGTGACAACTCTGAGCTGGCGCTAGTGTCAAACAGTGTAGCTGCCCTTGTAGCAGTGGCTGTAAATTCCTTCCACAATCAAGCGCACTGTTCTATACATCACCTGCATTGGCACCTTTGTTCTGAGATTGCCACCGTGGGGTCCGGTATCAGATATCCATACATGCAGTTACCGCGTAATTTACCATGACACAGTCTGCAAAATATCTCTCTTGTCGTATATCCAAGAGCAGAGAATGGCCTGCACCTGTTCTCGTGTGAAACTGGGATGAAGACTCCTTCACAAAGAAGGGGACGAGACAAATGATTTGAAAGCTACTCAAAGTTCAGTGGGTTTTCTTTGATTTTGTATGGCGATTCTTTATAGAAGTGAGTGCTTAAATCATTCCATTTAGGAACCTTAGTCAGAGAGGAGAATTGATCCCATCCATCTTAACTGGATACAGAGTTAATGCAGAGTGCAAAGAGCAATTGCTGAGTTTTTCTTTTAGTGTAGAATACCAGCACTTTAAGGAAATAAAAAAGTGCTGTTTCAAAGATGAAACATCAAGGTCTTGGTGGAATATACGTGGGTTTAACCCAGGAAAAGTGTTCAATAGAGATTTCTCTGTTTGCAGACAGCTTAATGGAGATTTGCAAAAAGTAAATGTGCAAAAGGAGAGCAATCATTGTAAAATAACAAAAACGTAACTCGATAATATTTTTATTACAGTGATTTCATAGAACATTTCTTGATAGTGACATCTGGACAAAGGTTTTACAAGCAGAAAACTCTGCCATTACCGGCTATAGCTAGCTGTGAAAATTCACTAGAAATGATAAAGCAATTAATTCACATCCTGCAGAACTGATGGTCAAGTCTCCAACCTTATTAAAACAAACTCAATGTTAAAATTACATCACACCCAGATTAGTTTAAGTAGATCAATTCTGTTCCGTGTGGAGCAGAACAAATTAAACAACTGACAATAAACCTACAAGAAGAGATAACTTTTTTCCTCTTAACCCTTATAGAACTGCACCACACGAAAAAAATTATGCAATACAAATGTGATCGTCTCCCGGAGTATTCAAAATACTAGCACTTTTCCAATTGCCAAGACATTTTTCTCATTAGGTTTGTACGGAATGTAATCTTAGTAAGAAAAAAATCTGGTGTAAATCCTAAGAGGTTTTCATAATAATAGTACTCAAAAGGGTTGGAATCTCAGAAGCGTTTTTCAGCTCAATCTTTTATTCCCACGTTTTGCTGAGTTCACGACTCCACCATCTGTTTTGTAGTAAAATACCCAGATTGACAGCTTGATACAAAATGCCTTTGCCTAGCAAAGTTTCTCACTGGAAAACATAGGTTATGAATCTTGTAGAAAATAGTGTTTAAAAAAGATGCACCAATAAATGGAGAAAATAACTTCTGCACTACTATACATAAAAATGTAACTGTTTATGCCTTTGCCTGTATAGAATACCAGCAATTATTTTTGTTTAAGGTATAAGAGAAATAAAAAGAAACAATTCATATGAACTAAATCTCCTAGCTAAGCTAGTCGACGTTTTCTATCTTGCTGGGAACCTCAGTTTAACCATACACTAAAGTAAACACTGAGCATGCAAATTCATCATCTGCATTCCTGTAGATGACAGTATTAATGTCGAAACCAGTACACTAAATGGGTGCGAAAGTCACGTGTAAAGTGAAAGATATTAAGTAATGGCAACATTTCCTAACAGTCATCTATTAGAAAAATGTTGAGCAACTTTCTATTCAGGTTCCACATGTTGCAGCCCATACAATCCATTATAATGGACAGTACCACTTAGGCATTCAATGGATACTTCTTCTCATGTTCATAGTTTGTCACTTAAAACAAAGTAAAATATAAAATTATGCAGCAAAAGACAAAACCTGATCAGAATAAAGAATGTGAACTGAAAACAAAAACACATTTAAACGATCAAATTAAATTACCTTTCTAACTGGCTAATGATCTCCTGCACCCTTCCAACTAGTTTCTCATATTCTATGGGGTTGCTTCCAATCACATTGTGAAGTTTGGCCATGTACATATCAAGTGTTCCTTCCGTTGGCATTTCTCCAGTTCCTAATTACCAAAAGAAAACATCAGATTATATTGGGAGGAAATGCCCAGGGATGTGAAAAGCTACATGAAGGAATCTAAAGTACACAAGCAATAATAGGTAAATTACTACTAGATACCTCTAGCTTAACACAATGCATGCAAATAGGATTATTGAGTTATACAGACATATGCAAAGGAAGAACTGATGATGTTTATTGGGATTGCAGAAGCCTGCTCAATACAGAAAATGGAAATATGTTCAAATTATATATATATATATAATATATGTATAGATATTGGATTATCTAGAAGGATTGAAAAGGCAGCAGAGGATGTTGAAAAGGAGAGTCAGAACACTGCCTCTTCATTGCAAGGCATTTAGTATTCCAACTACAGAAATGATTTTCTATCAGTGTGACAGAACCGAACATCATCCACCTGCTGTGCACCTGAATTGTTCAATGCTCAATTCAGAATCTGATTAGGCAAGGTGCCAGGGTTAACTTTATTAATATGGAATTCAATAAATTCAAGTGAATAAATACTCAGTGGTAAAATCCGAAGCAGAGAAAAGACTTTCCTCTTCGGCCAAATTTTGAAACAAGTAAGTTGTATGTTCTGTAGTAATTTGGGATTGATAGTGAATGAATCATAGAATCTTACAGCACAAGAGTAGGCCATTCGGTCCATCATGCCCACTCTTAGAAAGAGCCACCAACTAGTCCTGCTCCTCCACTCTTACCCCATAGCCCAGCAAATTTCTCTTTTTTTAAGTGCCTATCCAACTCCCTTCTGAAAGCTATGTATGGATTGCTGGATAATCAAAAATCACAATTGGGATCAAAGCAGGTCTTACAGAACATGACTTTAGGTGTCACCTACAAGAATATATGGAGCAGAAAGCCCATGTCTCACCTGGAATGGGAATGGAAGCAAAGCTGGCAGTGAGGGCCTGACGTACTGCCTGTAGCTGGTGCTGCAGAGTCAGTGTCTGTCTCTCCTCTTGGGCCAGCTCCTGCTCCAGCTTCTCCTTGGCGCTGCTCATGCTCTCGATGTGCTTTTGTAAGATGCTGTTCTGCTCTTCAAACTCCACATTTGACTTTCTTAATTTCCGCAGTTCTGATTCACGAGCTGTTTTTATATAAATCATAAACAAACATTAATTCACATTTTAGACTCTATAAAATGGGAACCCTCTTACAATTACACCCAAATTGTACAGAAACATCCCTCAAACTCCGGCAAGTAACCATAATCCAGATGGCATTCCTCGTTCGGTGTAACTTTTCTTTTAGTCTTCAACAAGACCTTGCTAACCAAAACCAAACCCATCCAATTACAGATATGTAGAGGCTTCCAAGGTCATCCCTTTAATCCAACTCCAATGAATCTTCTTCAGTTTCACTGCCCAAAACTGAAGATTTTTGCAAACAGGAATATTTAACATAATATGCAATAAATGTAGTGAATATATACATCCCAGAGACTCCTTCACCATTCAAGTAAAGTAATAATCCTTGCATTTGATATAGCATTTTTCATGTCTTCTAGATGTCACAAAACGCTTCACAGAATATCTGTAAAGTGAATTGACTGTATATATGTTGACGAAACTCAGCAGCCAATTGCGCACAGCAGCGTCCCATAATACAGTAACTTGCATTTATAGAATGACCTTCACATACAGTTCAGTGAACATTTTTTAAACATTTCTGAAAATGAGTGGTGGTGAAAGATAGAAAATTACCTTTGGTTTGGTCCAGGAACTCTTCGGTAAAAATTGGGGTGTCAAACATGGACATCCTGTCTGGTGCATCATCAGAGATCTAAGTGACAAAATGCTGATTCAGTCAAGCAGAGGGAAATGGAGGGAGAGGATTGGTGTAGGATCAGGAGGATGGGGAACAATGTATGCCAACTGAAAACTCCACTGGACACGAAGTATTCCTGAATATAAACATGTCACAGCTCACCTTTGGGACTGGTCCATTAACTCCTGACCATAGTTCTTCTAAAATGAAAGAGAAAGCACGCAATGTTAGTTTAATTCTGAAGAGATAACTTTTTAACCACAATGGTATTTCAAACCCACTTCCCCAGCTTGGAAACAATGCTTAAAGGTTCTACATTAGCAACAGGTCACAGGCATAGGGCGGTCGGGGGGATGGGGGTGGGAGGTATTTAACTTATGTGAAGAATTTTCAATCCACATAACGTGTCTCCAGTAATCAAAAAGAAGTATCGTCTTTAGAAACAATTTAAGATTAAGATTAGACATCAGGCTATCAGCGCCTTGGGACATGCTCCTGACATGAAAAGCGCTATACAATGTAATTAATTGTTATTGTTCTGCAGCAATGCTGACCAGCGCTCATCTACCTTTCTTCAGCTTCTTCTCCTGGATTTTTTGTGTACTCAGCTTGTACGCCTCAGTTTGCTGAAACTCCTTCAGTTCCTTTATGTACTGTTGTTTGTCTTTTTCTGCTTCATCCAGATAGCGCTAAAGTGAGACGGCGACACATGTATCAGAAAATAACCTTGTAATATCCTTCAGCCAATCATGTAATAATACATTAGTTGAAATGGTTCACTCTTTAAATTGTCACAGACACTCCGAGGGCAATGTCATGGCTACAACGGCTAAATCCAATTACAAATTGTGCAGCAGTTTGGGTTGCATGATCTTTTCAGCCAATTAAAAACTAAATTTATCAATTAAGCAAATCTTAAAGAAACAGTCTTTTGACTGGACTACAGATTACATTCCCAGGTTGATGGGGGGACGTTCTCTTGACATTAAAGGCGCTATACAAATATCAATATTCCAGTTTTCTCAAAAAGTCAGAGCACCACTGTGCAGATAAGTGCGTGTCCCAATGCGTGCAACATCTCCGGATTTAGAGAAAACTGAATGCCCTGTGCATGTGGACTGATATCAGGCATCGCATACGTTAAATCTACTCTGACAGACATTAGCCTCACCCTGGATGAGGATCTATGGGGTGATCATAACCCAGTCTATGACATGCAGTGATTCCTGAGGCACTGCATCAGATCCAGCTGTTAGAACAAAGCCCATGTATTGCTTCACACTTGAGCCTCCTACTCTGCGGAATATGATTTGGTTCCTGTGTTCATGTTTTGTGCCAAACCTACGTGACTCTAGGCGTAAAGAATGCACAGCACGACGCATCAGTTGTTGAACTTTAATGGACACCAAATTTTAAAATGTCAAATGCAAGTGTAATGTATTATTATTAGTATTTTCAACTCATTCCTCCTCGCTGTCGTGTACCTTTCTTCCACCTCCCACTCTCTACTGTGCAATGTACGAGTAAATGTTTCTTTTAAAAAAAGCTCATGTTCATTGGCTGAAACTGAGGCACTCTATACATAAAGTTGTTGTTGTCTCTCGGGCCAGGTTTTACCCTATCAAAAGCTAAAAGATAAAAGATGGACAGGTCACAGCCCAAAGGCAATCCTGGCCACTGTCCAAACAGGAACTAAAGTAGAAAGCGGGAACTCAAATACATTCCCAGGAAATCATCACTCTCCAACAGAAATACACATCAGCATGACCCCAACTGTTAAACTCCCATCCGTGGACGTGATGTTTGTAATTACTATGCCTGTATGACATATATCAACAGACAAAGGCACGTACCTGTTTTTCTAAGGGAGGGAGTTTGCTCCATTCATTCCCAAGCATTCGGGTGATTTCTGGGAAGGGCAGGTCTGGATGCTGCATCCGAATCTGCTCACGACGCTCGTTGAGGAAGCGGACATAACCAGTGACAGGGGCTTTGGGACCATTGAGCAGGACTTTCTTCCTCTTCTTTCCTTTCGGCCAGCCTCGCTTTTTCACCACTCTCTGCTGTAGGAAAAGTCAAACAGACGTATAATAGAAAACTGTCATTGGGGGATGTTAAATAGCCATTTTAAATGGGATCTCTTAATAAGGCTCAGGCACAAATTGAGATTGCTTCCAGTAAGTTGAAATCTGTCAAGCCTCAATTTTAATTCTTCTATCTAATACAGCAGTAATTTATACACTGTGTAAAATGTGCTGCCTGTACACATCACTCCCAGCTGTTTACTGTAGATGATTTATGAACATAGGCACGAAAGACTTTCTAAATTCAAAACACTGGTGTAAATCATGCTCGTACCTCTTCCTCGCCAGGATTTCCACCCCCAGCTGTACTTTTGTCAGATTGCTTCTGGGATGATTGAGTTTTGGAAGTCTCGACGATCTCTTGTTTAATCACAGTCTGCAACACTCCATTGTGATTGAAAGCCTTGGAAGTGAGGTTCCTGCAGTAAACATAGATGATAAACAGTAAGCAGAGCCTTACAGCAGATAAACTAGCAAGTAACCGTCAGTGTAGACCTCACAATTTCAAAGTGAAGTTTGCCATCTGAAGTAAAACTATGATTTACAGAAAGCCACAACCAGTGGAATTATGTACTTTGTTTTCACAACAGAAACCATTGTTCCTTCCAATCACAAAAACAAATATAGTAGTTACTGGGACCGTAACATTATAAAATCCAAATAAAAACCTTCAACCTGTATACAACATAGCAGCACAGAACAGATAATTTGTGATGATTTGGGAAATTCAATTCTCTGTTGAACGTACAAATCATTCAGCTCAGAACATGTGCAAACAAAGTTTTAAAAATACACAAATTCACAAGTTCAAGTGAAACCCAGCAGAGACTTCAACTTTAATAACTCAACTAAATAAGTGACAGTAGTACCGGGGTAAACAAGTGACAGTATTACCAGGTTTTAACTAGTTCACACTGGTTAATATCAAGAGCAATTTACAATTAAAAGGAATACTTTTTTGTTAAAAAAAACAAAAGGACAGGAAAAGATCTACTTACCGAGCTACAAGTACGGATTCTTTATCATTCTGAGACATCGTAATAAATGATTCAGCGACAATTTATAAAACCTGGTAAAAAGAAAAATAATTTTCAACACATAAATTCAAAATCAATGCAACAACACCATGTCCACATTGGCCAATGAAAATGTCACAAATAATTCCGCAGATAGGACAGAAAAGAGGTTTCTGCAGGTGTTTTAGCCCCGAATCCGATAAAATCGGTCACTTCATGGCAGTTTTTGGGGACGCCACTGACCACAAATCGCCAAGCAAACAGTCACTACGCCTCACAGTATCATCATCCGATGATAACGCTTAAGGGTAATAATACCTTCAAAACAATAATAACGTGGTCACTCAATCCACGACGGTGTGCGGGCAATTGGCTGCCGCGTTTCGCCCACAGAAATACAGTCACTTTAGCTGAGCTCGTGAAGCGCTTTGAGACAGACGTCGCGATGGCGCGGTAGGAAATGCAAAGAATATTGTCAGATGGGGGGGAGGGGGGGGGTCTGCACTGGGCGAGTGGGGCGGAGGGAGCAATAACACCATGATGGCTTTTAATCCAATTTAAAGACAAATAAAAGGGGGGGGGGAGTGCACAGGGGGGAGTGTACGGGGGGGGGGGGGGGGGGGAGTGCACAGGGGGGAGTGTACGGGGGGGGGGGGGGGAGTGCACAGGGGGGAGTGTACGGGGGGGGGGGGGAGTGTACAGGGGGGAGTGCACAGGGGGGAGTGTACAGGGGGAGTGTACGGGGGGGAGTGTACAGGGGGGGAGGGGGGAGTGCACAGGGGGGGGGGAGTGCACAGGGGGGAGTGTACAGGGGGGAGTGTACAGGGGGGAGTGTACAGGGGGGGGGGGGAGTGCACAGGGGGAGTGCACAGGGGGGAGTGTACGGGGGGGGGGGGGGGAGTGCACAGGGGGGAGTGTACGGGGGGGGGAGTACACAGGGGGAGAGTGCACGGGGGGGGGTACAGCGGGTGCGCATGCGCGGTGAGGCCGGGCCGAGGCCGAGCGGCGACCGTTAAAACCGTTTGTTTTTCAAAACCCAACCGTCACCGTCACCGCGGGAGGGCGCGGGAGAGGGGGCACTGCGCTCCGTACCTGACAGCGGGGCCCGCAAACCGCCAGCGCCTTCCCTCCTCTGCTCTGCCCCTCCCTCCCTCCCGCCCTCACAACAACAACAACAATAATGGGGTTTAATCCGATTTAAAGTCAAATAAAAGGCGTTTCCCCCTCAGTCACTGCCCCCCCACTCAGTCACTCACACCCCCCCTCCCGCCAGCGAGAGGCCGCCCCGCACAACCCAACCTGCTACCGGATGTCCCGCCCCCTCCCCCCCGAGAGCCGCACTGCTGTTTGGTGATTGGTCCGCCCGGCTGGCAATCACCCCGCCGCGCCACGCCCCCTCCCACGGCCCCGCTAGTCACACGCCCCCTGTCGGGCCGGCGCTGCACCGCACCCACTCTCTGAGCGCTGCTCTGCTCTGACCCTCTCGTTGTCTCTCTGATGTACTTAATAATAATAATAATCCTCGCATTTGATATAGCGCTGTTCACGTCGGGAGGACGTCCCAAAGCGCTTCACAGAACACACTGTAAAGTGAATTGACTGTATATTTGTGGGCGAACGCGGCAGCCAATTGCGCACAGCAATGTCCCACAAACAGTCGTGGGTTGAAAATGACCAATTTATTATTGTTTTGGGTTTTGGAGGGAATATTATTACTTACTTGGAGTCCTGTAGCTCAGTGGTTAGAGCACTCGCTTTGCAAGTGAGAGACCTGAGTTCAATTCCAGGCAGAGGGCGAAACCTTGGGCAAGTTTCCTTACTCCACACAGAGCCTAATAATAATCCCTCCAAAACCAAAAACAATAATAAATTGGTCATTTTCAATCTACGACTGTTTGAGGGACATTGCTGTGCGCAATTGGCTGCCGGGTTCGCCCACAAATATACAGTCAATTCACTTTACAGTCTATTCTGTGAAGCACTTTGGGACGTCCTCCCGACGTGAAAAGCGCTATATCAAATGCGAGGATTATTATTATTATTACTTTTACCAACTGTGTATGAATGGGTCCATTCCTGTGTTTCTGCGTGAAAATCAGCTTCAACCGTTCGCCTGTGAACACACACTCACTACATCTTACAGTGAAGGGCTTTTAGGCTTTGAGACGTTCTCCCGACGTGAAAGACGCAATGACAATAATATTATTAATATCGTATCAAACGTATTATACGTTTCATTTTGCTGTAAAAGCGCACATAAATGTGAAATTAAGGGCAGCTCGCACTGTTAACTGGTAACAAAAGTTAACAGGCCCTGTTTGTTCAGCCACCTGTCGTTGCCAAGTGAGCTGTGTAGGAGAGATGTGTTGATAGCAACCAGCGGAGCTACCGGACTCGGTTTACAGCCAGACCAGACCAGACCGTGTCAGACCAAAGCTTCTTCCAACCATGACGTCTCCAGATGACGCTCTGTATGTCCCACGAAGAACTTTGGAAGCGATCTATCCCCGGATAGGGGACAGGTGAGGAGGTAGCAATGGTTTGGTTCTCCTTCACAGCTGTTGACTGGGAAATGAAAGCTTCAGACTCATTAAACCTGTAGGGAGGGCCTGGGGCCACAGAGAGGAATATCATTTAGATAAAGACACTTACGATGGTGATTGCCCCCTGTGTAGTTGACATTCTGTGGTTAGACTTAAATGCGTCTATTCTAAGTTTTGAGTCTGTACATTTCCCAACACTGGGAACTCTATTTGTAGTGCTTATTTCCTTCAAAAGAATTTACAGAAGTATTTTCAGTTAATCACAATTGCTAACTGAAATCCTAAAAGTTGGAATAAACAATTGCTAAAATGCAGTGTCCTGGCCAACAATCACCCAAATAAATTGCACACTCAATGAGTCTTTGTGTGCGACTGGCTGCCACATTTCACCCACAAAATACTCCACTTAACAGTATATCCTGTGAAGCGCCTTGAGACGTCTCGATGGCGAGATAAGGAGCTGTATCAAATGCAAGGATTATTATTGCTTTTTTTTTTACTTAACTCTTTAACCTTTCCAGTGTCCAGCAAAGAGCTTACGTCACGGCATCAAGTGCCCCCGTCATCAGCCACGCTGTGGTCTGGAGAGTGACCGCAGCTTCCACTGGCCATTTTTGCTCCTCTGGGCTGACAGACCCGTACAGCAGAGCCAACTACAACAGGTGGCTGGAGTCCTATCGTCAGAGAGAGGAGAAACGTACAACAGGTAGGAAGCAATCCGTGCGTCTCCCATGATAAACCATCCAGGTACATATTAGCATCACCTAAATACCTATTTCACCATAAGGGGAAAACCATGTCTTATTCTCACCAGTGAAGCAACACTTCAGACAACAACTCACCTGTTGGTTCTGGTTGTATTTTGCTGCTCCCCCCGTCCACTCCACCGCACCCCCTCCTCTCCCAAAAACACTGCCGTAAGCCGGCGTTGAGCTGGTTTATGTACATCCGAGAGCTTTCCAGGGCTCTGAGTGACAGAGGCTGTACACATGTCATGTGTTGCTGTGTAAATGCACTGAGCAGCATCACCTTCCTTACCTGCAATGTTGGTGCCTCCAAAATCCCAATCCCTCCCTCAGGGCCATCATTGCAATGGAGCAATATTCCATTACAACCACTGGAGGGCAGTGAAGCGCTGAAGTCACACAAGAGCACAAGCACTTGATGTTGTTGCCACATGTGAGTGACATGTGAGTGACACACAAACCAGGGGTGGGGGGTGTGGGGGGGGGGGTGTGGGGGGGGTGTGGGGGTGGTGTGGGGGGGGTGGTGTGGGGAAGGTGACCAGAAGCGCGGTCAGAGAGGTTACGTCTCGAAACGAGCCTTGAATGCGGGGAGGGGACGGACACGAGGTACTGGGGGGTGGACCATCTCGTGGCCGTAATCCGTGTCTTCACATCACAGCTGGACACGCGGCCACGCTCGAGAGGGACGCTTTCCAGTGGAGACGCAAAGTGAGACCCGGCAAGGAGTTTGCCGGGTACGGGCCGTCTGAAGTGATCCACGTGAATGCACACACATTACTCTCTCTCTTGTAATCAAATCCTAAATGTTATGAACTAATATACAACATTACACTATTAAACTTGCGTTTGGTACAGCAGCTCATCACGTCGTTGAGATGTCTCAAAGTGCTTCTCAGGATACACACTGTGCAGTGAAGTCACTGTGTATTTCGTGGGCAAAATCATTTAAATAATAAGACTTGTGTGTTGCCCACAGCAATTTCCCCCAAAAAAGTCATAATGTGAATGATCAGTTTTATTTACGGGTTTGTCAGCCAGGATACTGGGGGGAGGGGGAGAAACTCCCTTCTCTTTTCCAACAGCGCCGCAGGATTTTTAACATCCACCAAATCAGGAGCAATCGGCTTAATGTTTCATCGGGAACACAGCACTTAGGGTTAGGGTTAGGGTGTCGCTCCCCCGGCTCTGCACTGGACTATCTGAGCTCAGACACCACTGTGGAGCAAACCTACCACATCCGAGAGGCACAGCTTGGGACAGGATTAATAGGAAGCTTTTTTTTAATAAGAAAATGATAGCAAATCTCAGCCTAATCACATCGCTATCAATGAGATCAATAGATTTTTAAAAACTAAAGGGATTAAGGGATATGGGGATAGGGAGGGCAAATGGAATTAGGTTAGAAAATCAGCCCTGATCTTATTAAATGGCGGGGCAAGCTGAAAGGACCAAATGGCCTACTCCTGCTCCTATTTCTTATGTGCTTATGCGATCAATCTTTCTTTTTTTCACAGTTATCGATCGGCAGAAAATTAGAAGCAAATGAATTTCATGATTGAAAGACACAGAAATAAAGGCTACCTCTCACCTGACAGACTGGTGTCTCTGCTGTCTGCGGTTTCAACATCGTTGACCTTTTGCGTCCCAAATTAGTTCAGGTAAAACTGCCAAGACTGGTTCTGCAGTTTTTTCTAATGAGAGGGTTTGAAGAGCATCTCACTGCACATAAAAATTTGCGAGGTGACAGAAGACCAAGGTCCATCGCTGGATGAATTTAAGATTATTCACACTCAGAATCTCAGTGTCTCTAAATAGAATTGTTTATTTTTACACATTTTTGGTTTACAAATACATTTCACAGAAACAGGATGTAAACAATAATAATAATCCTTGCATTTGATACAACGCCTTATGTCGTTGAGACGTCTCAAAAGCGCTTACAGATATACTGTCGAGTGTAGTGACTGTATATTTTGAGGGTGAAACGTGGATATTATTATTAGAATAGCAGATTCAAGGCACTATTCATTATCAAAGCGAGTTAACCCTTTCACACCAATTCACATCTGTTCCCTGCCCACCCCCCCACCTCCAAAAGCTAATTAAATCAAAGGATTGTCTTATTATTGATCTGGATAAATATTTTCTGTAATTCTCTGTAGCTGTGTGTCTGACCCCTGGAGGGCTGTTGTGGTTCTCAAGGCCAACACCAGTCTGAGCTCAAATACATTTTCCACAATGAGACAATGCAAGTACTAATAAAAAGTTTATGAATATTAATAATAGTGCATTTGATATAGCACCTCATCGCATCAACAAAATCTCTTGAAAATACTTGACAGGATTTTACCACACGGTGTAGTGACTGAATGTTGCAGGGTGGCGGGGAGTGGGGGGGGTAATGCCCTTGATAACAGGAGATTTTCACTTAATCCCTAAGACCATGACATACACAGGCTGGAGAGCAGCAGCACTGTAAACACAGGGAACTGTGAGGATGTCACATCAACCTCTACCTCAATCTTCTGTCCATCTCACTGTCCTGTCCTGACTGACCTGAGTGTGAGTGGGGGGGTTGGTGGGGGGGGGGTGGTATCTATCACACTGTACAAAAATCTTCACATCTGCCAGATTCATTCTTCCCCTGAGCCGGTGGGGGGGCTGGAGGGAGGGGAGAGTGAAGGAGGTGGAGGGTGGTGATCCTGCCGAGGGGGAGGGTCCCAGAGCTCTGCCGCTGCCGGTACCAAGGCTTCCCCGACACCAGAGAGCGGTGGGCGGTTTGAGTTTGAGAGTGAGGTTCCTGCTCACTCAGGAGGGGCGAATGGTCACCCGTGGGCTCAGCGTGTTCCCGGTGACCGCGAGCTCGGCTCACGGTCCAGCAGAGAAGCATCCGGCCGGCAGCTCTCCTCCGCCAACCCCCGCGGGCACATCGCTAAGTCCACATCGCTCACAGCTGCCCCCGGCATCATCACGTCATCACGTCTCCCTGGACCTGAACCCAACACAACACGCAGACAAGGTGAGAGCAGGCGCCACAGCCTCAGCGTGAGAAACACCAGCACCCGGACAATCTCTCGTTCTGCCTCAACGCCTTGATAAACAGTCTTCAAAACAGATGACTATCCAAGCCTTCAGTTCCCTCCCTCCACCCCCTCCTCCCGCCGAAGCAAGAAAGCAAGAGAGAGAGCGAAAGAAAGAGAAAGAGAGAGAGAAACAGACAGACAGACAAAAAGAAAGAAAAAAAGGAGGAAAAAGAGAGTGGATGTGAGAGAAGAGAGTTAGAGAGAGAAAGCAGGGGGGGCCGGGGTGCGGGGGGGAATGGAAAGAGAAAAATTAAAATCATAAGAAGAGATTTCTGGAGAGGGTTTTAGTTACACATAAATAATAGATGGAGCTGCCCGGAACATTCCAGCTGTTCAGATTGTAGCTTGGGTTACAGGGAGACTGCGTACGGTCACACACACTCACACACTATCAGCCTCTGCCACCCCCACCCCCCCCACACACACAGCGTCTCTCTCACACACACACACACACACAGCCACACACACTGTGCGCTTGACGTACTTACTCGCTGTGTGTGTGGAGCTGTGGCCAGGCTCCCATGGACATCAGCTGTTCCTCCAGCGCCACGAGCCGCCAGCCAATATAGACTGAGGACAGCAGCAACAGCAGCACCCTGTCAGGACAGCCAGAGACAGGCAACGTTACAGCTGGCCTGGGAGCCCACCCCCCCGCGGAGCTGCTCCCATTCTCCCCCGCTCCCCCCCCACCACCCCCTCCCCGCAGTGATCTGTTGTCCCGGCTTGACAGCGCTGTGTAAACACGGATACTCACAGGAACATGTAAATGAGGATCAGCGTCTTTATGGTGCTGGAGTCCTGCGATGGGTTAAACAGCCACAAACATTTGGTAATCGTGTTGAGCCAAGAAACACCTGTAACACACACACAGTCACCCACACACAGGCACCCCCACACACACACAGCGGCACCCACACACACAGCCACACACACACAAACAGTCTCAGTCAGTCTCGTCGAACCTTGACAATAGCCGCAGTGTCCCACGTCTCTCACGTGGGTAAGTGCAGAGAGCGAAGGATCATTTAATCGGGGTGGGGGGTGGAGGAGAATGTCGTCCAAAAGTGCGGAGACAGAGGTCAGCTTTGAGGACAGTTGTGGAGAGGGAGCGAGAATGTGAGGGAGAACAAGATGGAGAGGGTTTGAGGGTGAGTTGGCGTGAGCGAGGCACAGTGGCTGAAAGCACAGCTTGACAGTGGAGTGGAAGGAGTGGGGGTTGGGGGGGAGTGAGGAAGAGGGGTGCGGGGTGGGGGGGGCGGTGGTGCGTGGCAGGACAAAACAATAATAAATTGGTCATTTTCAATCCATGACTGTTTGTGGGACATTGCTGTGCGCAATTGGCTGCCGCGTTCGCCCACAAATATACAGTCAATTCACTTTACAGTGTGTCTGTGAAGCGCTTTGGGACGTCCTCCCGACGTGAAAAGCGCTATATCAAATGCAAGGATTATTATTATTATAGAGGTCAGGAATCATCATGTTTCTGCCCGGAGCTGATCAGTGTGAGCGGAGAATGCAGCGTTCGTGTCTGTACCTGTGGGTGGGGGCCGGGGGTTCCCCCGGTCGGACTGACCGCTGTCCAGCTCCGTGTACTGCCTGACCCCCACCAGAGTTACATCGGTCTCTGCGGACAACAAAGAGGCAACAGAGTCAGCGGTCACTCACACTTCACTCCACACACGACCCGAGTCAGAGCCGCAAGGGAGGAGGCTGTGCTGTGTGGGAGTGGGGAGAGAGGAGGGTGGGCCGTACTGGGGGGAGAGGTGGGGAGCTGTACTGGAGGGGGAGCTGTGCTGGGGGGGGGAGCTGCGCTGGGGTGGGAGCTGCGCTGGGGGGGGAGGGCTGCGCTGGGGGGGAGGGCTGCGCTGGGGGGGGAGGGCTGCGCTGGGGGGGGGAGGGCTGCGCTGTGGGGGGAGGGCTGCGCTGGGGTGGGGGGTGTGCTGGGGTGGGTGGGGGCTCTGCTGGGGAGGGGCTGTGCTTCTGGGGGGGTGGGCGGGCTGTGCTGGGGGTGGGGGGGGTCTTCCTCACCTTTCACCTCGCTCTCGTCAGAGCTCACCGACTCCTTCACCGACTCCGACTCCTCCTGGCTCCTCCTCTCAGAGCTGGAGTAGCTGCTCTCCTGTGGGGGGGTGGACACAGCGGGCGTGAGCACAACAACAACAGCAGCAGCAACAACAACAACAACAACAACAACAGCAGCAGCAATCGTTATATGAAGCCCAGAGATTTCAGCACAAGTTGTTCGGATGGACATTTCCTCACCATGAGCCTCTGGGAGCTAAAGCCGAAGCTGCTTTCCGGTGACGGGATCATGGGGCTGTTGCTCACACTTCCATCCTGGGGAGAAGACATTTCACATCAACGCGGAATTGTCCCAACCCACTGCACTTGGTACCACACACATCACGGCCACAACTCCATCCCCCACCCCAATGCATCCAACCGCCATCCATCCTCTCCCCCCCCCCACACTGTGATTCGCTGTTGTGCCAGACGACCCCACACAGGACTCGGAGAAATGTAATGTAATAAATACATATAATAATAACGTATATAGATAGACACTGATTGAAGAGCTAACCTCCAGGTGGACGCAGACTCGCTTCAGAGCGTGGAAGCTCAGCTCTCTGGAGCGGAACGAGGCAAATAAAAACTGCAATGGAACAAACAAAACAAACGTGACGTTTTTGCTGAAGCGGAAAAATGCTCGTTATTTTTACTGCAGTAATCAGCTGTCAGGCACTGAAAAGAGAACGAGCGTTATCTATTGAAAGCTGTGATTAGGGCAGGGCGGGTTTCACAACTTCTGCTCAGATACTGAAAGTTTAGAAATAACCCAGAGAAGAAACGAAACTTTACCTTCTCTCCATCGGTGGTCCTGACACTCAGAGCGTTAGGCAAAAGCAAGGCTGTGTTCTGCTTCTTCAACACAGCCACCGCTGTCACTGGTATCTCTACCTAGAGACAGAGACACAAGCACAGTCAGCGCCACACACACATACACACACACACAGAGTCAGTCACACACACACACACACACACACACACACACACAGTCAGTGACACACACACACAGTCAGTGACACACACACACACACACACAGAGTCAGTCTCACACACTCACACACACACACACACACAGAGTCAGTCACACACACACACACACACAGTCAGTGACACACACACACACCACACACAGTCAGTGACACACAACACACCACAGTCAGTGACACACACACACACACACACAGAGTCAGTCTCACACACACACACACACACAGTCAGTGACACACACACACACACACACACAGTCAGTGACACACACACACAGTCAGTGACACACACACACAGTCAGTGACACACACACACACACACAGAGTCAGTGACACACACACACACACACACACAGTCAGTGACACACACACACACACACACACAGTCAGTGACACACACACACACACACAACAGTCAGTGACACACACACACAGTCAGTGACACACACACACAGTCAGTGACACACACACACACACACAGAGTCAGTCTCACACACACACACACACACAGTCAGTGACACACACACACAGTCAGTGACACACACACACACAGAGTCAGTCACACACACACACACAGAGTCAGTCTCACACACTCTCACACACACACACATACACACACACACACACACACACAGAGTCAGTCACACACACACACACACACGCACACACACAGAGTCAGTGGCACACACACACACAGTTAGTGCCACACAAACACACAGAGCGCTGAGAGAGACGCACACCCAGAGCTGTCACCACCCCCAACCCCCACCCCCCATAAACGCACACACAGCCCCCCAGCCCCCCGTTGCTCTGTTTAGGATCCGGCCCCTCACCCCAGTAGCCTGGAGCTATTGTCAGGCGATGTCAGGTGACACTAATGGCTGCTCAGTACCTTGGTCTCCTTCAGGATGCTACTGTAGAAACACACAAAGTTCTCTGAGATGTACATCTTGCCGTGATAGGGCACCTCCCTGTGCAATGCACAGTGAAAACCTGCCGAGAAGGAAACAGCCAGGTTATAAAACAAGTGACATTTACTTGTCACTTGCCTTTCTTGTTGGGTGGATGTCCCAAGGCACTGGAGTCAGGGATTTGGACCTGAGCTGGGGTTTGAGATCAGAGTGGGTGGAGGGACAGGGAGGGCAGGGGGAGGAGGGTAGCCAAAGATGCGGGCAGAGAGGAGAGTCTTCAGATGTGCCTTGAAAGATGCGAGGGAGGGAGGGAGGGAGGGG